CAAACAGGACACTGTTTACAGTTAATAAAGAGGAAATGTTTGAAATCAGTAGTACTACTTGTCTTTGTTGATCCATAAAATTATTTTCTCCCTTTGCAGACTATAAAAAAAAAAACTACTACTACAGCTTGCTTAATTTTATTTCACTGAAATGATGGTGTAGGGATATTTGTATTTCTGAGTCAGGGTAGACTAAAGTCTTTCAGATCAGCAGATCCTCCTAGTGATCCCTTAGGGAACTTTGCTTGGGTCAGTGTGAAGCCAATGCTTTGTGGTAGATTAAAATGACTTCTAATGATTCATGCATTCATGATTTTATCAAATTCTTTTGTTGGGGGAACTATTCACATGTTTATCACTAATTGTGAAAAATTATACATTTTGATTTTCCTAAAATTAGCTGTGAGCTACTAGGACTATTCCCTAGTACTAATACGAAAATATTTGGTGAGTAAATCTGTATTTGTATTATCAAAATCCTTCTTGATTTTATACACCAAACTATTTCTACTTTTGGCCTAAGTCTTTTCACACTGAGGAGGGCTGGTGTGTTTGATTCTTTCATGCAAATAAACTGGTGCCTTTGATCGTTTTTCTCATTTGAATTGACTCCAAGTCCAGAATGAATTTTTTGGTGTATGGTGACCCTATATGTATGAATCAGGAGAATATTTCCTCAAGCTGTCCTTGATTATATTGGCCTTTATTTGGCTTTATTCTGTCTCTGTATTTCTCTATTTTAATTTTTTTTAAAAGATTTTATTTATTTATTTGACAGAGAGAGACAGCGAGAACAGGAACACAAGCAGGGGAAGCGGGAGAGGGAGAAGCAGGCTTCCTGCCGAGCAGGGAGCCTGATGCGGGGCTCGATCCCAGGACCCTGGGATCATGACCTGAGCAGAAGGCAGACGCTTAACGACTGAGCCATCCAGGCGCCCCGATTTTAATTTTTATTCTAAATCTCTGTTTCTTGCTAGGAATGGATAAATTATATATTAGATTGCATTACTTGTTTTTAAATTACATATTATAAATTACATATTATTTACAGTGTTTTTCATAAGTGGAATGTGATATAGCAATATTTTCTTCCATTTTTGTTACGTCTCCAACTAGGTACTGTTAGTAATAATTCTTATTTTCTACTGTTTATTAATTAAAACATATCTTAGCTGGGCTAATGTGCCTTCCTAAAAACAATAATAATAAAGACTCTTGCAGTGTTCCATTGGAAAGATATATAATTACGCATTTTAGCCAAGAATTACATAAGTAATTTTCAGATTATGTTCTAGGGAAAGCCAGGTTTAGAATCAACTAATATTTGTTTAGTGTTTATTTATGTCAAGTGTTTTAGGTGATTTCTCACGTAGTTCTGTGCCTTTGATCTTAGTAAACTTCCTAAAGTACTAATATTACATTCAGGGAAAAACTGATCCATTGAAAGGGAACAAATCTATCATCTTTAAAATTAAACTACTTTTGGGCGCCTGGGTGGCTCAGTTGGTTAAGCGACTGCCTTCGGCTCAGGTCATGATCCTGGAGTCCCTGGATCGAGTCCCGCATCGGGCTCCCTGC